TGGTTAGACAAGTTAGTCCAACTGTGAAGGTGGATGTTAATCATGAGAATAAAACAGGGCTACATTAAGAGCAAAAGTGAGCTGTCACCGGACATGAAGTTCCTTAGTTCTTTCTTGGAACAGGCAACATGCAGTGAGATCAGTGTAATCAAAGGCAAAGTGCCCTCCCCGAGCCCAAACGGTCAGCCGGGCGGATTCGGGAGCCGGAGGCGGGCAGTGGGCGCCTGGCTCAGTGCGTGCCATCCAGTGTAATAACTATAATGGTACCCAAGTCACATAAAATCACCGTGCTCATATGATCTGGTTTGAGTAATAGTCTCACATTAACAAAAAATTTTAAGTAGGAATTTAAAAAAGCAGAGAGTTAAAAAAAAAAACAACAACACACATACAAACCTGCTTCCCACGAAATTTACCATCACAGGAATGTTGCCAGATTCCGCTGAGAGCAGTGTTTTTTTGGTGTTGCTTGTGTAGTCAGCACATGGGTGACATTTAGACCCAGGCTTGGCTTACAAGCGTGATTCATGAGGACACGTCAGATGGCGAACGTGGGGGAAATTTCCCTTGGTGTTCAGAGGGAGCAGCTTGAAGGAGCCACAGAGCTCTGGGCGGTTGCGGAAGTCACACCGCAGGGCGCCCCCCCTAACCCCCCGCCGTTCAAAACAGACTTGTCCAGAAACTCAAAATCTGAACTCCAGCCCTCAATGACAGCCATTTGGGTCCTTTAAGAGAAACATGTGGACGGGAGGGGTTGAAGGGGGTGAAGGGGGCCTAATATATGAAGATGGAAGATGATTTGATTTCGGGTGGTGGGCACATGGCATAATATACAGATCTTGTATCATAGAAATCTACACCTGAAACCTATATGATATATGATTAAAAAAAAAAAGACTAGGAAATTTAAGACCCACACAGCATCAACATTTGGTGCAGCGTGGTCCAGGGGTTTATTTTTAACACACTGCACAGTGATGGTGACGGAGGTGGTGTTGCTGATTAAGAAAGACCTAGGAAGTCCTGGTAGGAATGTTTTTGAACGCAGGCTAACGAAGCCCCTGCATTTAGCAACAGACTCACAGAACTTGAAATGTGTGTTATTTTTCCCCCTAAAAGGTCTAGCTTCGGGTTTGTGGGTGAGACTTCATTCGTGCCTATGAAAATTGGTTTAGCCGAAAATCTCTTTTTCCTCCCCCGACCGTGTATATGACGGAGCATCTGAGCCGAGCGTTTTCCACTTTCATGACGCTGTGATGGCAGGCGTGTGCCCTGTGACAGCAGGGTTCCTGCCCCACTGAATAAGGGGCTGCCAGTGCCCGAGAAGGAACGAGGAGGCTTTGCCTGCATCGCACTAAAGGGAAATGTTGCTAACTTGGCAAGAGTCAAGGCTGGGTGTGTGTGCCAGCCATTTCTGTGTGGCCTTGGGTGCAGCCAAACTTAGCTTATATGTGAGGCAACTTTACCTAGAACCTTCCAGTGAGCACGGACAAAAGGATGCTTTGTTAAAGATTCAGTCGTTCCTTACACGTACTGAAGGTCCAGCGTGTGTGAGACAATGCTGGGGGGTGGGGGGGGGCGAGGGGTTTAAAGACAGATTTCTGCATCCTGGGGCTTTGCAGTCCCAGAGGAACCTGCTGTGATTCTTTTCCCTTTTTGCTTTGGTTTCCAGGAAGCTCGAATGGAGATCAACTTAATACTTAAAACTTCATTGTCAGCCTTGGTTCTGGTCCAGTTGCGAGCTCAGCCACATGCTTGGGAACTGTCTTTTAGACTGCGGTGTCTGTCCCCCAGGTGTGTGTGTGTGTGTGTGTGTGTGTGTGCGCGCGTGCATGCATGCGCATGCGTGTGTGCATATGTGTGTGTGCTCTGCGAGGTCAGAGGAAAGAGGAACGTTGGCTCTGGTGCAGGCCTCTGGGAGGCATCCTGAGAGGAGGAAGCACCTTCACTGTTGCCTTTTTATGTGTTTCAGCGGGCGGGGTCGTGGCATACGTTGGTCACAGCAGGTAGAGGGAGCAACCACAGCAGGATGAGAGAAGACTGGGTGCTACGTGGGGGTCATGCAAGCGAAGGATGGGGGTCCAGGTTTATGATGTAGGAAGGCATTCGAAGGCCCCGTCCATCAAACGGGGCTGCTCACAACCTGAGGACCAGTGAGACCTGTCCCCCTGAGACTCCTGAGACTCAGCGCCGCTCCCCCCGCCTCCCTGGCCTCACGGAGCCTCCTGTCACAAAGCCCATGGGAGCCAGTGGGGCCGGCTCCTGCCACGTGATGTCCTGGAGGCGCCTGCTTCTCCGGCACCAGAGCTGACACACCGTTCCCTGCCCCTGGCCTGGCGGGCACCGTGGATGCGCCCTCAGGCAACCGGTGCCTCAGCATGGTTTTTGTTTTGAAAAACTGATGAGAAAATTTTGGAAAGAGTATGTGTTTCCTTAATGTAGAGAAAAGCATTCTGATTCTACTTTTCAAACACATCTTTGGACTCACCCTCCCATGACCCCTTCGCGTGAGATTCCAGGGGCTGTGCATGTGATGAATCAGTGCCATGTACCCAGCAGATATCACTGTACTCCCCACGCGGTAAACAGTGCATTTCACTCATAAGCTGCTTGATAAAAGTGCAGGCACCGGCATTACGCACGTAGGAGCTGGCGAAACCCTAACGCCTGCCGTTTAGGTAACGGTAGGGCATCGGTGCCGACACACTGGTCTCGCCACGTGCTGTGGTTGTGTAACCTGTGTCACTGCGGAAGGCTGGCTGCGGGAGTGCATGGGAACATCCACACTATTTTTGCACATTCTTACGAGTCTTAAATTATTCCAAAGTAAAAACAAGTTTGTTGTTGTTGTTTTCTGTTTTTGTGGGTTTTTTTAAAGCAAGACAGAATCAACGAGATCATCGAGTGTAGATTTCAAGCTCTAGTGCAGCAGTGGCTCCCCTCGCCCCTGGCATCCTCCGCAGCCCTGGCGCTCCTGACCACGTAGGGCTCTGTGAGAGGTCCCTCCAGAGAGGCTCACCCTCCCAACGCCTGTGGCTCCAGGTGGGGACATCGGGGCCCACAGAAGTAAAACGCAGTGCTCATTGGTGATGATTGACGAGAACCTGGGGAGGGTTTAGTACCGTTGCTCTCGGTAAATCCCATAAGTCAGTGTAGACTGGCTGCGACCCGGGAGACAGGAAACGAGGCTCTGTGCCCCTGCATCCTCTTTCCGGTGTGTGGGAGAGGCCCTCATCCTACGGTCGATCCGTGCACAGCCAGCCGGGTTGGCAGGAGGTGGCACAGTTTACGCCTCAGGGTGGGCGTTTGCCACGGAAGGCCCGTGTCCACCAGAGGCAGGAACCCGGCACCCGGGACCTGGAGGAAGTCCCCTGGCTGCTTGCCACCTTGGCGTCCACTCCGACCCCCAGGAGGACTGGGCTATGAGTGTTCCTCTCCCTTCCCATCCAGGCCCAGGTCACTGAAGTGAGGGAAGCCTGGGCACCTCGGCTCACTTCCAAGGAAAATACAATCACAATCATCTCCTCTCGTATTTGCTTACGGACTTTCAGGTCGCAAAGCCCTTAGATGTTCCCTAAGCTGCGCCTCGCTCCAGGCTCTCCCCTGGGCAGACTGGCTTTTATCTGCTTTATTAATAAGGGGCATGACCTCTCCAAGGTCATTCACTGGGTTTGTGTCGAGGCGGCAGCTACAGAAGACATGTCAGTAGATGAGCATGTTTGCGTGCCAGTGAATGTTTATTCACAAAGCAGGTGGTGGTCTCATTTCCAAAAAAAATTGTGTTGTGAATGCAGAAGTTTGTTTAAAAGACGTTAAGACCAGAGCCTCGTTCTGGGTGGATTTCTGAAAACCCTGGGGTGGGAATCAGTGTCAGAGACACAGCTGCGGTCAAACCCGATCTCCGACATGCACTGGCCATGTGACCCTGAAGGTCACCATCACCTCTGTCGAATGAGGGTAATAAGTACAGTAGGTCCTCGGGCTATTTCAGAGGTCCGTTCCTATGGTGTGACGTAACACGATTTTCGCCCTAAGTCGGAACACACCTACATAAGCACCATAAGCACCTACGTCACTCACATGGAGCACATACACAGCAGTAATGAAGTGAAACAGTAAAAAAAATTTAAAAGAAAGATAACAATTCCTGACCTTTACTTGTGGTAAATAAATAATAAAAAACATAAAGCACTTATGTACATACGTCGAAATGACGGAACTTTTTTTTTTAATAAAAAAATGGGAGATGGCGACGTAACCACAGAACGACATACATCAAGTCCGACGTCACCCGAGGACTGTCTGTATACAGCGAAAAATTGGGAGAAATGCTGACGTTTATCAAGGCGGGTGGTGCTTACACCAGCAAGCAATTCCCTGCCTTCGCACGGTTCCCCACCTTCCCCCCTCCTCCTTCCCTTGCGGCAGCATCTCCACCAGGATGGGCAGGTGGCCCCGGGGAAGGAAGAGGACAGGAGTGAGACAAACCCTTGTGTTGAGGGCTGACTTTCAATAGATCACAGCAAGGGCGCTGCTCTGCTACATACAAAACCCCGACCCAGAAGCAGGTCCTCTATGAATGGTTTAGCGCCAGGGGCCGATTAGGGGTGGCCGGCCAAGGGGAGGGACAGCAGGCAGTTGGCTGTGGGAGTGCACTGACCACCAGGGGGCAGCTCCTGCATTGAGCATCTGCCCCCCTGCTGGTCAGTGCACGTCATAGCAACTGGTTGACTGGTCGTTCGTTCATAACCGTCGCTTAGGCTTTTATATAGAGAGATCATCAGAGCCTTGAGAAACAGAGGTGTGCATTGCTCCTCATGGATTTGCCCATCTGAGCACTTTACTAAGATTGACTTCTTTTGGCCTCATCCCAGTCTGGTTCCATTTGGAACCTCGACATGGGAATGGGGAGTCGGGGGAAGGGAGCTGGCCTTGGCTTTTAGCCCACAAAGGTGACCTTTTGTGACCGAAATGAGCAACCTTGCTGCTTCTCCCCGCAGGACCCCCGGAGCAAGCACAAGTTCAAAATCCACACCTATGGAAGCCCCACCTTCTGTGACCACTGCGGGTCGCTGCTGTACGGGCTCATCCACCAGGGGATGAAATGCGACAGTAAGTACCTTCTCTCTTCCAGCCCATGGCCAGGCTCCCAGCCTGGGCCCGGGGTTCCCTGCGCTCATCGAGTGCAGTAACGTTTCAGCTCCAACTCATCGAGAAGGAGCACTCGTTCCGGTATATACCAGACCAATAAAGTGTCGGATTTTTCCCCAGCCAAAGTTCTGGCTTATTAAACTACTCACTGCCTCATTATGGACCCCAGAAAGCACCCAACTGATCCATGACGTTGGTGCTGTCACAGTTTTTCATGGTAGAAATCTTCAGTCCCTATGAAACGCAGGCGCGTCAAACCCGGAAGCAGACGCATGCGTTGGAAAAAGACTCCGCGCCTCCACGCTGCGCGTTTGGTTCGGCTTCGGAGTAAGCTAAGCGATCACGGTCGCTGTCCTCCTGGGTCTCTAATGAGTGGGCGGATGTGGAAAAATCCAGGAGGTTCTCCTTAAACTGAAACCACAGTGAAAACAAGAGACAGGGTGGCATCTCACTGAAGTTCACTGGCCCTGCATGTCCCTGGGCGGCTCCAATTTCTATCCGTCCAGTTAGGATGAAGTCACCAGAGGCCACGGGTGAGGGCAGCTACCCACCTCCGTGCCCCTTCCCTGTTCCGTGTGTATCTCCACCGGCTCCCAGGGGGAAGGAACAGCTATGGAACTCTTGGCTTTGACAATTCCTATATGTGGAGATGCGTTTCCCAGACTATTTATTTGCTTCGGTAAAAGTGTATACTTTGAGGACACGAAAGGTAAGGACTAAGTCTGGTTTTCTAGTAGACAAGAAAGCGTCAGGGGAATACCAGCATCTGGCCATTCATTAACGACTGTGATTACGGCCAGAAGCTCGATATGTGTATCCTAAATGGAGCAAACAGGGACATAAAAATAAAAACCCATGAACTTCACAGAGTAGATGGGCAGTTTCTCAGAACACAGGGTTCTCCCCTTCAGCAAGCTGTGGAAAAATTTTTTAAATCACATTAGTTTTTTTCTTTTCTTTTTCTTTAAATATATTTTTATTGATTTCAGAGAGGAAGGGAGAGGGAGAAAGAGATGGAAATATCCATGATGAGAGAGAATCATTGGTTGGCTGCCTCCTGCATGCCCTCTACTGGGCATGTGCCCTGACCAGGAATCAAACCGTGACCTCCTAGTTCAGTGGTTCTCAACCTTCCTAATGCCGAGACCCTTTAATACAGTTCCTCATGTTGTGGTGACCCCCAACCATAAAATTATTTTCGTTGCTACTTCATAACTGTAATTTTGCTACTGTTATGAATCGTCATGTAAATATCTGATATGCAAGATGTATTTTCATTGTTACAAATTGAACATAATTAAAGCATAGTGATTAATCACAAAAACAATATGTAATTATACATGTGTTTTCCGATGGTCTTAGGCGACCCCTGTGAAAGGGTCATTTGACCCCCAAAGGGGTCGCGACCCACAGGTTGAGAACCGCTGTCCTAGGGCGTCACTCAACTGTCGAGCCACACCAGCCGGGCCAACCTGTGGAATTTCATAGCCTAACGTAACCCAGGGATCCCAAAGACACGGTTTTCAGGGCTCTGCAAGTGCACATTGGAGGTGCATTTGTAAGTATACTTGTCACTGCTTTCAACGTTGGAACAAAAGGACCACTTGAATGTGTGACACACTCAACCTTGACGCGTTGAGGGTGGCGTGGGAGACCGGACGTTGCCCGGCGTCACTCACTGAGAGGAAAGTGTAGCCAAGTTCCTCCTGCTGCATCCACTGCACTGAAGCGTCCCCAGGCCTGGGAAGGGGGAGCTAGACAGTGTTGCCGCTGGTGCACACTCTTCTGTAGGAGCCGGGGCTCTGGTCCTGCATCACTGTAACGAGAAGCATCAGTAAACAAGTTCTTGAGGCAGAACTGGGACTTCACCCAGCATCCCTCACAGCTGGTTTCAAAATGTGTTTGGATCTGAGGGCTTTGTTGGTTGTCCATGAATGTCTTTATAATAAGTAAATGGTATAAATTTGAATTTATTATATGCTAATAAAAGAATACTCATCTGGTTTACATATTAGGATTCCGCTTAAGTCTTTATTGGAAAATGGGTTCTGTTGTTTTTTTTAAAAAATCTGAAAACCAGTGCTTTTAAAAAAAATATTTATTTTTATTGATTTCAGAGAGGAAGAGAGAGGGAGAGAGATAAAAAAACATCAATGATGAGAGAGAATTGTTGAACGGCTGCCTCCTGCATGCCCCACACTGGGGACCAAGCCCGCAACCCAGGCATGTGCCCTGACTGGGAATCAAACTGTGACCTCCTGGTCCATAGGTCAGTGCTCAACCGCTGAGCCACACTGGCTGGGCTGGAAACCAGTGCTTTTTGTTTTGTTTTGTGTTAAACTCCTTTCCTTGGAGTCCTGAGGCCTCTGGGGCGGCTGCCTGTGCTCCTTCCGGGAGGGAGGAGGAGAGAAGGCAGGTGGGTGCCAGGACCCAGCCCCTCCCTTACCTTCTGCAGCGGAGAACCCTCTGCCTGCACATTGTAGGGTCGTAATCCTGTGGTGGGAAGAAGCTTAACAGCCGCTTGTCTGGGCCAGCCTCTTAGTTTGCAGAGTAAGAAATGGAATCCGAGAGAGCAGATAAGCTTCCCAAGATATAAGAGCCACTAATGGGAGAAGCCACGACAAGAACAGAGCCCCGTGCGCCTTCACCTCCCTCGCCCTCCCCGTTGTCCGGATCCTCCGCAGAGGCTGTGGCCTTTGTTTCGTTTACGTTGCAAATGCTTCCCAGGCGCTTGAAGGTAATTTCCAGAGTCAGTATCTTTTCTAACCCAGATACATGGCTTTGAACAGGTAACTTTGGAAATAGAAGCCTATGCAGAATCCACGTTCGTGAATCAGCCCATTGTTCTTTATTCCTGCGCCCATCATCCCGCCTTCCGGGCTCCATCCCAGCACACAGACATCCTCGGCCATGCTTTTTGCAATTTCGTTCATCCAGTTTGAAATTCAACCCTCACAACGAAATGGCATGACGGCTCCACCTCGCAGGTCACAGAAGAGCCCTGTGGCACCCCCTGGGGGACCGGAGCCGCAGCGCCTCCACGGAGCCTCGTGTCTGTGCTCTGCACAGGGTTCTTCGCAGGGTGTCTCTGGTTCGCTGCAATGACTAGTCTTTTTTTCATCCTCCCCCGTCTCGCCCACGAAATGTCAGCCGGGAAGGAATGGCATATCATGCCAGGCGTGTATTTGTTGTACTTGCAGTAATATTTAAATATTTGAAGTCAGGTTTAAAATATCAAATACTAGTTCTTTTAAAAAAAAAAACACACACACACAATAAACCAAAAGCAATGTATTTAAGCCTTCTTGAAAATACAGAGTTCGCTTGGGAAAGGAAAATGTTATGAATTTCCTCCACTCAACCCACAGATTCTCACGCCTTCTAAGTGGTGGGCTAGGAAGGCATAAGCAATTCCCTGGCAGAAAGTGGCCTCAGTGTAAAATGTGCGTGTTCTTTGCCTCTGTGTCCGTCGCGTGTGGATCCGTGCGGGCTCCGCAGGCACTGCCCGGTGCGTGCTGTGCACTGTTACATCTCTGAAGCCGTCACAGAAGACCAGGCAGGGGGTTTGCTCCAGTTACGACGGAGCCAACGTGGTGTGGACATTTCGAGGGTGTTGTGGTGCACAGGACGCCTGTGCTGTGAGGAACATCTGCTCCCAGTTCTCCATGTGACCAACAACATTATAACAAAGTATCCATGTCACCAACAACATTATAACAAAGTATCGAGTTAAAGGGTGTCTCGTTTTCACTTGCGCTTCTCCAACCAAAACACCGAGCAAGTGACGGTTCGGGTCCATATGCCCAGCCCCACTCACCCTCCGCTTTCTCGACCCGCAGCCTGCGATATGAACGTGCACAAGCAGTGTGTGATCAACGTGCCCAGCCTCTGTGGGATGGACCACACAGAGAAGAGGGGCCGGATCTACCTGAAGGCGGAGGTCACCGACGAAAAGCTCCACGTCACAGGTAAGGCCTGCTTGGGAGGTGGCGGGCGCACAGCTTCCCGGCGGGCGTTCGGATGCGGGCCGGGGTGACACCGATGCGGGCAGGGCAAAACACCTGGGCTTGTGGTGGCCTCGAGCTGGTCCCACTCAGAGCCACTGATCCCCATCAGCGCGTCTCCTAGGAGACTGCTCTGTACGCGGATTCGAAATGCTCAATGTCATTCGGAGTCGTCACTGCCGTGTGGATGGGGGTACTCTGACAGCGTGGCCAGTGTAGCATCCCCTGGCGACAGGGGGGCGGGGAAGGCAATCAGGCAGAATGCTGTGAGTGAGAAGAACTAGGGCAAGGGGAGGCGTCAGGCGTGATGACCTGGTAAGTCCATCTTAGTGACGGTAACAACAGCAGCCACCGAGCGTTATGCTTCCCCCGCATTAGGCATCGTGCTGAGAACTCCACGTAGATTACTTTATTTAGTCCTCACGACTACCCCGTTAGGAGCTTCATTTCCCAGAAAGGGAAACTGAGGCACAAAGAGTTCAGTAACTTGCTCTGTCACCGAAGAAGTAAGGAGCCAGGCTGGGAACCAAGGCCTTTTGACTCCACGCCCTGTGCTCCTAATGAGCACATCACGTGCACCTCCTACAAACAGCCCTGCCCCGGGGCTGCTGTCCCGTCCACGGGCCAGGACACTCCCTCCTGGGGCTGTGACTGGGTGGGCTCCACTGCAGCCTGGCTTGGCCTCTGGTTGGCCCCCACGTCCACTTTGGGCAAATCGACACACTCGATTAAGTGACCCTGGAGCCTCGCTGGCCCAGGACCGGTCCGGTGTCCTCAGATACCTGCTGGTCTCGCCACCCGCCACTCATGTTGACTTGTGGTTCGGTTCTCAGGTGTCGCCCTCCTGGCCTTGCTCGGGGGGCTCCCTCACGTACCTCCTTTCCTCGGACAAGGGCACTCGTCTCCATGTGAGCAGCAAAGGTGTCACGTGGCCATTTGTGTAGGAATGATAAGCGATGGTAAAAACGGAAAGACTAACTTTAATGTTACTGACTTGCAAATAGCAGAAGATACTATAGGGAGGGGGGGGGGAGACCAAAAGGGTCTATTTAAGGGGAAAAGAGAGAGAAGGAGCTCCAGAGAAAGCTCACTTTTGGAAACATCCTTGTATTTTTTTATTTGAAACATAAGCAAATTTTCTACCCAAAGCTGTCCTCTCAGATAAGAATTCAGGGACAATTAAAGGGCTTTGAGGTATTGCTCATAGGCTCTGGATAACCTTATGAAACAAACCAAATATAGCCAGCGGTCCAGACTGCATGGTGAATAAACTCCCCATCTCAGGCACGCAGGGAGCTGGGGGGGGGGGGAGGGGGGAGGAGGGGGGGTGTCTGCCCGCCTCAGCCCCACACCTGCTTCTCTCTCCCTGTGGCTAAGGCTCCTACCTTGTTGGACTTGTGTCTGGGGGGCACGGAGCATGCAGTTTAGGAGAAAATGACCCTAAAACATCTCTTCTTATGAAGGCACTAATCTCAGTAGGAGGTAAGAGATTGAGAAGCAAAAAGTGAATGCCTATGGGCTGGACACTTCAAGGGTCATCCTTCGCTTTATAAAGCCACCGCCCTTGGCAATAGAATGGCCATCACGGCGAACTGTCAGAGCTTCCCGCGCGGTTCGCAGCTCCTGCAAGGCCAGAATGTAAGGCAGCGTTCCTAAATGCTCAGCTCCCACTCATTGTGCTTCTGAATACAGCAAAGCACAGCCTGAGCGCTGGACCCGGCCTGGGGGCTGCCCTGGAACGAAAGCAGCCACCGCACGGCGCTGCCGACTTTTCCGGCCTCTCCCGTGGGCCCCGCAGGCCCGCAGCGGGGACACTGCACAGAGGGCGCCTGTGCGCTGGCCGGGGGCACAGGGCACCAAGTAGCAGAGCAAGGTCGGGTCGCATCCTGCAAGGACGGCCAGGCAAGTCCTCCTCGGGCCTCCCTGCTGCTCACCCCACTGCTGCCCTCGGTTCACAGTCGTAGAGTCATCTCAGGGGACAGGCCCTTCCCGGAGGTAGGCACCGGCTTTTCATGAAAGCCAGCCAGTGTGGCTTACGACAACAATCTAGGTCGCATCTCTCGAGAATTGGTCTAAAGATGTTTGCACAGACACAGCTCTGCTCTGGGAATATGAACTCAGCAATCGTTTAATAACAGTCACAGCCACGGCAGCCAACACTGATGGAGCCCTTCCCATAAAAGGGACACTTGGCACAGGTGTACATACGTGTATCCAAACCTCTGTGGAAGTTCGCCTCATTTCTCTTCCTTTCTACATGAGGAACGTGAGGCACAAAGACATTAAGTCACTTGTCCGAAGCCTCACAGATGGTAAATGTAATGCTGAGACGGTTCACGTAGAAAAGGAGAGATATTGTAATGATCGTCTCCCAACAACCATTGCAACTGTGTCTGCGTTCAGGCTGCTGTAACAAACACGCTAGACTGGGTGGCTTAACGTTTCCCTCTCACAGTGCTGGAGACGGGGAAGCTCAAGATCAAGGTGCTGCCCACTGGTTGCTGGCCACGACGCTCTTCCTGGCTTCTAGCTATGTTCTCACCTGGCAGGGAGGGCGGGGTGGAGGGAGGGAGTGGAAGCAAGCCCTCTGGTATCTCTTACGAAGTCACTAATCCCATCTTGAGGGCTACACCCTCATGACTAATCACCTCCCCAAGGCCCAGACCTCCAATCTTAGCAAAGACAAAAAAAAAAAAAAAATAGCTGTGTGTACAGGCACACAAGTGTGGCAAGATGTGTGGCAAGATGGTAATAATTAGTGAATCTAATACATAGCTGGTCACTGTCCTGTTCTCTCAACACTGTTTTTGAAATTTTCAAACCGACCAAACCTGCAAAAAGTTGGGCAAGGTTAAGTGGGAGCGCCCGCCGTTTCCACTGCGTAGCTCCACGTGCTCTGTGCAGGGGTCCCTCCGCGCTGGCGGGAAACGGCCAGGTGAACCAAGCGAGCGCTCCCAATGGGGATGCTAACGCAAGGCCAGCCCGTCAAAACACATGCGGGGTGTGGGAAGGGTGTGGGAACGGGCGCGAGCAGGCCAGGGAAGCGGCTGCTGGCGGAGAGCCTCGCTCTCCCGGGAGGAGAAACCAGCATTGGCTAAGCACCCTCCATGTACCAGGCCCCTGACCGGATGCTTCCCTGCCTGTCATTGCATCACAACCACCCTTATAACCGGGGAAACTGGCCGGGCGAGCTCCGCTGGCCTGTCCAAGATCACAGGGCTGCAGGGCGTGCCCCGCCCATCCCTTTCCCAGCTGACTCCTGGCGCTGGCCCCGGGAGGGTGACAGGCCGGTCCACAGCCCTCTCCCTTTCCCGGCCCAGGGTGTTGCCAGCGTGCTGGCAATTCCACGTCTCCACCTGCGATTAGGAGTTGAGGCTGCCCTGTGCTGGCTCTCGGACACCTGTCCTTACCGCAGTGTCCTGGGCACCGTCGGGTGAGGGTCTGCCATTATCCCCCCGGAGCCTGCGTGTCCCAAGGCTGAGGGAATGGCTGGAACTAACATGGCAGCAGGGAATCTGGCTGAACTCCCCTACCTTCACGTGAAGAATTAAACGGGCAAGGATGGAAACGTACCCCTTCAGGACGTGTGCTGGTTGGGCGTGTGTTGGCCAGACAGACGTGTGATTTGACTTCGTTGTCCTTTCTCGTCCTCCGCCTCTGGTTTTTCCTGACTGGGCCCGGTGCTTTCCCATCACAGACCTGTCCTTGCTCTCGCAGTGCCACAGTCCGTGGAAGCACCCATCTCTAGCCGTTGTCCCCCCGAAGGATGTGCTTAACACCCAAGCACTTCCTTTGCCAAGAAAACAGGAACTACGTCTAGTCTAAGTGAAAAAGAAGTGGCAGTTTCTTGCACCAGAAGAGGGTGTGCACGTTGCCCGTGCGGACGCACCTGCTTCCAGGTGATGGCTGGAATGCTGGCAACAGATGTATCGGCTCGGTCTCCTTCTTGATTGGACATCCCAAATATCAGGTGGCACATGTCGGTGGGACCCCTCCAGCAGCCAGTACCTTGCCTGCCTCCCCAGTCGTTTTTTAAGATATATTTTTATTGATTTTAGAGAGGAAGGGAGACAGAAAGATAGAAACATCAATGATGAGAAAGAATCACTGATCGCTGCCTCCTGCACGCCCCCTGCTGGCCACGAGCCTGCAATCCAGGCATGTGCTCTGACCCAGAATCGAACTGTGACCCCCTGGTTCTTAGGTCAATGCTCAACCACTGAGCCACCCCAGCCGGGCCTGCCTCCCCAGTCTTATCCCTCATACCCCCTCACCCATGTCCCTCCACCCCTTGACACTGTGTTCCTATGATAAAGAAAAGCCGGTGCTGCTCCCCGTGGGCAGCTGCCCCCCACGCCGCACCTCTGCTCGCGCTGGTCCCTGCTCCCTCAGGAGTACCTTTCAAACGTTCTGTTCCCATTACCTTTATGCAGCCTCTCCCAACATTTCCTGCCTCGCCTAAAATGACCACTTTCTCCGCCTGCTCTTTATAACATTTATAACGGGCTTTCACTTAGGTTAGTTTATATGTTGATTTCCCTCCACCCCTGGAGGTCAGAGGTCGTGTCTTATCCCCTGTACTCCGCCCAGTACCTTGAATGTGTGCCTAATACACGTTTGTTGAGCAGATGATGATGATGATGGTGGTGGTGGTGGTGGTGGTGGTGGTGGTGGAAGTATCCAGTAGGCACAACATTGAGAAAATCACTCCGCTTTATACTGTGCTGCTCTATCCCCAGTCCAGGCAGCTCTTCCCACGTTAGCCCTATGTCTGGATCAAGTTGAAATGACCCCGTTTTAGCCTAATTCATGAAGCCACGTGACTTCCGGGGTCCTTCGGAGAAACACAGCCAAGAAAAGTTTGCATCTTCTCAGAGACATTTCGCTATTACATCCTGACGGGGTGCCTCGTCCTGACCTAGCTTTGGCAGAGCTGAATGTCAACTGTGTACCAACGAGCCGTG